GAATCACTTTCAGCTGGATCCATTCATACATCACATGATTTCATCCATTCTGTGAGTATCAGCTGTCAGGAAATAATTTCAATCATTGTTACATTAAAAAAATGACAATCTTAAAATAATTTTGTTTTAAGTAATAAAAAAAATTGTAATTATAATTTTAATAATTTTTCAAGTTAAATTATATCAGGCCTAATCAAACTCATCCTCTGAGTCTCTTGTCAAATGTACATGTGTTGCCCTACTCTTGGTGCCGCAGTGCCAATGAGCAGCGTTCTGAAGGTGAAAAAGAAATCCAGAAAGTGAGCTGTGGCAGATGAATGTGTGGAGCTAATCCTGCCGCACAATGATTCAGTGCTTAATCCTTGTAATCTCTTCCTACAGGGGATTATCCATCTGGATGACTAAAGCAAATTAATGGGATTTACTGAGCAGTAATTTAACAACTTGATCAGTATCTTCAACCATCAGTAACCTTTGCTTTAGTACCCACTTGAAGGCAACTGCTTTCATCTCTCCCTGGCTTAGTCGATTTGGAAATCTATTTTGTTTGGAGTTATTACCTCATCAAAACCATTTGTTGCAAATATAAAACTCAATTAGCTTTCAGAGTATATTAATCTCAATGAGACATTTAGAAGTTTTTGAAACATCATTCATGGGACGATGTCCTCTGCAACATGTTAGAGGATTTTAGTATTTTTAAAGCGGTTAAGCATTTATACAAGCTGATACTGACAGTAAGTTGTTTGGCTAAATATCTGTTTAACAGAAGATTAAAGTTTGAGTAAAATATTAACCCATGACTTGGCATTTGATCAAGAAATGCAGAGACCACAATGTGTGTGTTCTAATAAACAGAAAGTTTAAGTGAACATTGTCAGTGCACCACTTTTCAAATACAACTATACACCAATTTATAACATTTGTTTTGTATTATTGAAGGTTTTTCTACTGCAAGAATTTGGACTTCTAACCTTTCAAAGCAATGAGAAATGGACTGCTCCTTATAAACACATCTCATCCACACAAGCACCTGTAATATACATCTAAGTGCTTTTTTATTTATTACTGAATGTGAGATCATCAAACAAATTTTAGCCTTCGTCAAAGATAAGCCAAGTATGCGCTTTATAAATGATTTTGTTTTTAAGAGGTAAAAAATAGTTATCCAAACATCTAATTGTGTGTGGAAAAAGTCATGTGTGAAAAGAAAGAAAAAATATTGTAAGGAAGAGGGCAAATACTTTTTCAGCACTGAGCACTGTGTGGCGTGGATCTAGAAGGACCTTTGCTTCATTCGTCTTTGAAAAATAAATTCAATTTCAGTTGAGATGTACTTATTTGTTCATGCAGTCCTTCTCACACAGGTGAAATCAGCAAGAAACCTGTAGCTATTACAAAGTATGAGAAGTAATTGAATCCAGAGAGTAACTTACTGAAATGATAGGACAGTCAGTCAAAGGTGGGATAGGCTATACACCCCCCCCTCCACCCCCCAACCCTGACAAGAAGAAGTGAGGATGGCTGGAATAGAAAAGTCAGATTTCTTCGTGCTCAATGAGATACTGTATTAATTGGCATTTATGGTAAAATCAGTTTTAAGTCATTTGACCAAACAACATCTTTCAGAGAGGACAGTGAAAAAGAAAAGCTATGTGAAGCAGCAGCATTCTTACACATCTGCAAACCAAACACATGTTACAGTCTATGATGCATCCTTATTACCGCCATTCTGTCTCTCCTTCCATCCCACAGGCTCAAGCATACATATATGTGCACAGTGATAAAAGCAGGTCACAGGGTATCAGCATGTGAGCTGCTGCATAAGCACCAAGGAGGCCTGAGAGTCTCGCCACATGTAATCAGAATGGAAGTAGTGCATGGACAGACAACTCTAAAATAATAATAACCTAACATTGCCATGTGAGCAGCACTTGGCAAGAGTGGGAAGGAAAATCTCCTTTTTAACAGGAAGAAACCTCCAATACAACCATTCCCAGGGAGAGACAGCCATCTGCTGCAACTGGTTGGGGGTGAGGGGAATAAGCAGACAAAGAGACAAAGGAGAGGAGGGAGGACAAACGATGGGAGAAATTGAATGACATTAGTGGGGTATAAACACATGGGAAAGTATTTTTCCAGGCTAAATGGGGACCGGATGAGGTATTGCAGAGCCGTTTCATCTCCAGTTTATGAGCTTTAAGGCATATGTATATGAGTTACACCAAGAAGTCAAGCATCTCTGGTTTGATGTTTTCTATTTGGATGTCACAGTATTAACAAGACTTCAATGCGTCTGAAGTCACGGATAAAGTGCCAGTGAAAGT